CCCCTCCCCACTGCCACCCCCATCCGCGGCATCCAGCGTCCCATGCTGCAGCGGGGTAAGGACACCCGAAAAAATCGGCCGTATGTAGTGCATGGACCCGGCTGAGCCGTGTTTTAGTAACTACCCACAACAACTGCTAAAACCGCAATCACCAGCAATTACAATAATTGGCCAACGTACGGGCTGCTCGTGCGAAGATGCGTTTTTCCCGTAGTTCCGCGCAGATTTTTGTCGCTAACAGCACTGGTTTTCCCGGCAGATGCTTCTAGCGAAAAGAATTTCAGACTGGCCGCCAGAACTATCAGGAAACATTACTTCAAAATTCCAGTCTTTTAGCTTCTCACGTTCTCGAGTTAGCAACTTATCCGAAAGAAACTTTCACGGGCCCATACGTAGGTGTCACGCTTACCCGCGGGCAGAGTTTGGACTTGTCAATATCTACTTGGACAGGGAACATCTCCCTAAGATTTCAGCGTTCTAGCTTCTCAGATCCCTGAATTATGAGCTTACCCCCAAAAAATTTTGGCGGGCCCATACGCGGGTACCACCGCGGGTAATGGCGCCCATTTTGGGGATTTGGGCTGGTACGTGCATGTAGATTAAGTTCCCCAAATTTCAGCCCTGCAGCCTTTATAGGTCTTGAGATGAAAGTGCATGACAGACGCACACCCTCGTCAGTGTGCGTTTTTGCATTGCATAACTGCAAACCTAGGCTGGAAAGCACCAGGCTGGCTGGTGCGATTATGCGTTTTTGCACTTTTCGTGCTGTAGCAAGATCGCAAGGAATCACAGTAGCCAACCCAGTGACATACTCGAAGTCTGGGAAGTTAATTGCGCAACTGTGTGGTATCTCAGTTGTAGATGTCGACTTCAGTAACCCGAGAAATGGAAAGTTGCTGGTCCGCAAAAAAGGCCGCACTAGAGTAGTTAAATTAGAAATCTTTTGGTCACACATGAGTAAGGAACATTACCCTAAAGTTTCAGCTTTCTAGTTTTTTTCGTTCTCGGGTTAGTAATTTTCGCGCCGAAATTTCCACGTGCCCGTACGTGGGCCCTGGGTTCTTCCAAACACCCGATTTTGGTCGTACATGAGTAAGAAACATTCTCCGACAGTTTCAGCTTTCTAGCTTTTCCCGTTCCTGGGTTAGTAATTTTCGCGCCAAAATTTCCACGCGCTCGTACGTGGGCTCGGGTGCTTCTAAACACCTGACTTTGCTCGTACATGAGTGGGGAACATTCCCCTAAAGTTTCATACTTCTAGCTTTTCCCGTTCCACACTGTCATACGTAAGCCCTGGGCGGTCCTAAGGAGTTGAGTTTGAAAGCTTTTGGTCGCGCGTGAGTAGGGAACATTCTCTCAGAGTTTCAACTTTCTAGCTTTTCTCGTTCCCGAGTTATCAGTTTTCCCGCCAGAACTTTCATGTGCTCGTACGCGGGGCCCAGACGTGCATGAGCGTTGATACCGCGGTTCAGGGTCAAAATTTCAGCTTCACAGCTTGCGTGGTTGGCGAGTTGAAATACCCGGACAGACGAACACACACAAACATACACACACACACACACTGGCAAGGTCGTTGCAAAATGCGTTTTTGTTGACTGCTGCAGCGCTGTAGTGCTGCAAGGCAAAAACGCATGAAAACTCGGCTCAGTTGGTGATCTGTGGTGCTTTGGCCCTCCAGCGCTTTGTTCTTCTATCCCTGTCAACACTATTTCGTGGCGCCGCTCGCTGGAACTTCGCCAGACGCGCTGGGTAGCGTTGCCCAGTGTGTGGCGGCTGCACCACGTGGACGCGGGGGTGATGGGTGGGAAGATTGGACGTGGTTGGGGGGTGTTGGTTGGTAGTTGCCCAGATACAGCTCAGAGGGCGCGATTGACGCCAGGATAATGGAGAGCAATGAGATTGCTGATTAGGAGTTCAGGACGATAAACGGTGACAGTGGTTGGAGGTGGTGTGTGCCCCGAAGCGGTGCTGGAGACAGGGATTGCGGACAGAATACAAGAGGGGAAGAAGGATTCGAAGCATGAACTGCAGATAGCAGTAAAGAGGAAAATAAACCAACACGGCACTACAAAGAAAAGTAAATTAAACCCGGATTTGTGAATAAAAGGAAAAGCAAAATCAAAGAATTGGAGCCTGTAACCGAAAGCAAAAAAAGCAAAAGTAAACAAAAACTGAGCTTATGCGAGTAGGACTAGTCTTACAAAAACCCGTCTTCAGTAAGCGGTCCCCGTATTTATGAGATTATGCTTAGCTGAATCTGAGCAAATAAGTTCGACTGGATTTACTGGAGCTTATGCTTAGGTGTAGCTGAGGGCAAATAAGGTCGGCTTGTCGGCTCGTGTCGTCCTTATACCCTCAAACTTGGGTAATATAATCTTTATCAACAAATGATAAAAAACCGAACAAACGTAACGCGAACGTAAGCGCGAACATGTAGCAAAATGGCATACGTTATACATTATGTATCATCAAATTATAAAACTAAAAATTGGGTTGGAGGTGCACATCGCTTGTTGTCGACATCCTGCCTTACCAGCTGCTGC